CTCTTGTTTATATTTTTTGCTGGCATCCCTTTCTCTGAAGTGATTCATTGGGTCGGTCACTGAGGAACTCTCGAAGGTGGGCCTCATCGAATAGGAGGGCTACCTCTTCTCTTAATTGTCTGCAATCCTTGGTCCTCTGGCCATGCGTACCATGATACTTGCACATCGAATTCGGGTTCCTTTGGGAAGCGTCAGTTTGCATGGGTCTGGGCTACCTAGTATCTTTGATTCTTCCGATTGCCGATACAATGCCCGATGCGTCGACGCTGAAATTGTACTCCGATAGCCGAGGTGCCTCTATAGGATCGCCATATTTATCGAAGCCACTCTTGCTCATAAGCCCCCGAGAATTTTGTCCTCAATCACTCTTTCGATTGTTCCGAGCGGAATTGCACGATGAGCTATTGTTCATTCGATCTGCGACATACGGTTGATATCGGTCTCTGTTCGACCTTCGCTCTCTGTTGATATCCCTCTGGTTTTTAATAGCTGTCCTGTTCTGATGCATGGATACGGATGGAGCTCCCAACTGGTCGTCTTCGACCCTGATTTTTGACTGATATCGGTTGTGTACATCCGCCTAAGTTATTGCTGGATACTCGATCAAATTTTGCTTCACCCGACGTGATGCTATTGAACTTTGCTCGTTCAACCCTTGGGTGAAAGCTTGGATGGCCCAGTCGTCTATGACCAGTGGCAATTCCATGCGTTCCATTCTTCGAATCCAGCCCTTTTATCATTGGTAGAGCTCCCGGGATCTGATCGACCCTGGAATTATATGTTTCTACTTTTTTTTATCGTTGGCTTCGACTCGTTTTGTGAATTCCTCGAGCAATTTAGTAATTTTGGGAGTAGTCCCTGATTCTTACTCGTTTGACTTTACTATGGATAGCTCCGTTCTGTGGGTGATTTCTCGAAGCGGATCGGGCTCCGGCCTGCTTTGTACTTGAGTTTGGCTCTGCAACTGAGCTATCGCTATTTGCTGGGCTTGTAACATCTCGAAGATCATCTGTAAGTTGATTCCGATCTCCTCCACGTTATGGGCATCTCGAGCTACGGATCGAGTACTGCCCTGAATACTTTTTTCCGGTTCGGAACGTTGGTTCGCCTCAAGAGCCACTTGTGAATTGACATCTAGCGGTACTTCGACTCGGATTTCAGGTACTTCGACTTGATCTTCAGTGACATCATTAAGTGGCCTTTCGGCCTTGGGTATCAAGTTGTTGGTTTCATCCTGAAGGCCGATTTCGTGGTCGATAGGTAAAGCCATGAATCAAGGGTTTGCCATTGCTGATTCGGAGCTGTAAACTGGTGCGTATTGTGGATTTGTATCAAACAACCACTGTTATCCTTAGTCCCACGGTGGGCGCCAAACTGTTTACCCGAAAAAATCGGATATAGTTGAATTTATAAGTAGTTCTAAGGATATGTGATATAGCTTGACATAAATCGTACGTAGAAGTGGAAATGTTTAGATTCTTGGCTATAGAAACAGGATATAAATTATTGAACAAGAAGAGTGAGTATGCTGAGTAAAATAAGCTCAAAAGATTTATCCTTCAATAAATAGAAGTAGTCTTTTCTTACAATATGTGAACCTTTTTTTGTGCTTACAAGGATTTCCCCCTTTATAGTAGAGGGATCTTACTTTATTTATAATAAAAAATATATAGTGGAGAACCCATGATGAATTATCTCTTCCTCGATTCCTGGCAAGATTCTCTCCCCTAGTACGGTTGCAACGGCTCCTGTCTGCGAGCTCGATACTGACTCGAGCTCGGTATTGGGTCGAGCCCTCAGCCTTGAGTTCGAGTTCGACATTCGGGGTGAGTGTCAATCGGTCTGTGCATCTCCGACAACCTTCACGTTGCCTTGCGGTTCGATTTGGTCACGGGCTTGATAATGATACAGAGCGGATTCCTCGATCGGTCTTGGAGCTCGAGGCTTGTTTGTACTATCCTTGGAACTCGTCTCGATCTCTCACTTCGAACGCTTACCATTCGAACTCGATCAAACGTACGGAGGCCGAAATCTATTTCGACCGTATACACATATGCAAACAAAATAGCTAAAAAGTTAAAACTAACGTTAAGTTAATATGGTAAATTTGACGGGTATCGATATTTTGTTATGGGTATATCTTTATAAAATTAAGACAAAGTTCTAAATACTTTAGGTCAAATATTGGACCACTTTCTACTTCTTTTTGGTTAAGGAGTATCCTTTGATCAACTGAACGTACCATAAATATAAAATGAAGATCATGGCTAAAAATCAACACATTTTATCATTTGCATGAACTTATATTTTTTTATTTAATCTTAATTTTTCGACTCAAACACATTACTACCTCCGTTCCAGTCTATGTGAACATTTTTTTTTGGTCCGTTCCAAAAAGAATGACCCATTTCTAAATTTGGAAACAATTTATCTTAAACTTACAATTCTACCCTTAATGAGAAGTTTTTATAACCACACAAATACTCTGGGGTCCTTTTTGACTTGTTTAGGACCACAAATTCCAAAAGTTTTTATTTTTTCTTAAACTCTGTGCCCAGTCAAATAGGTTCACATAAATTGGAACGGAGGGAGTACTATTTATGTGATTCTTTAAAAAAAATTATTTATTTATATGGGAATACACGTCATGCGTATCCTAAGACTAGTTCTCTTAAATGTTTTTAACAACTTTGAAAATCTGACGCGAGACTAAACAAATAACATTTTAACAAAATCAGATGAAGAAAATATTTTCTTTTGCTGATAGAAAATATTTGCTTCCTTTAAAGTCTGAACGGATGGTTATGTATTGTACTTCTTTTACTTTTCTCTTTTCCGTTTCTAGGAGTACTCCCTTGGAAATTTTAATTACCAAATCTCCTTTTGTATTTTTATTTTATTGATATAATAGTAACTTTTCACATTTCTTGTGGTTGTAAATATCTGATTACCTTAATTCTATATGTTTGGTATGGTTGGCGAACTACAATGATTGAAAACATCACTTCTCATAATATTAAGTGCCAGCTGATTTTATTACCAAACTAGTAAACTTACCCGCGCTTTGCGCGGGTTAAGAAACATCAATAAAATTTGAAAAAAGAATTTATCGAGTTAATAACAAATGTAGATATTATCCCTCTTTTTATGAGAAAGAAAATCGCCAATAAATAAAATACATTTGATTTAATTCATAAATTTAGTTTATTTATAGCAAATAATTTATGTGATGTATAGTTAACCGTATATTATCAATGAATATTACTTAAGTTTTATCTAATTAAGAAAGTTCAACACTAAGAAAAATAAAACCTAAAATTAAAATAAAAGTTGCATAGATTCTTAAAACTCCCAATTACACAAATAAAATAAATTAAATTATTGTTAGTTGTATATTGAGAAGCTGAAAATTTCTATGAGAAAAAATATATACTTTTTGACAGAAGATCATTAGGAAGACCTCCTCCTCTTACTTTGGAACATAAATGTTAAAACTTTTATTTCGTTAATTTATTGTATTATTCTGACAGTTAAAGCATGCTTTTAGGGGATACATTTAATTGAGTAACTGTAATATTAAATTAGAGATAATGTAACACTTTAAAGAATAAAATTCACCAAGCATTCACAGGAATATTTAATTTTTTTAATAAGAAAATCTTTCAATAACACACTTAATAAGATAAGAATCAAAACTAATTGTGTGTAAATCCTAACATTAGAATAATGAGTATTGTTTCCAAGTTGATTATGAACCTCACTAAGTTTTCAATCATCGGTAGTATAACATGAAAATAAAAAATACTTTATTTCATAAAGTTAATAACTCGTTGTCTAGTGATTTTTAAAATACTGAAAGCCTACCCCATTCACAGTGTTAAAAATTTTGATCGGTAATAACCGATTATTACATGTGTTTTCTTAATTAATTAGATTACATTATATGTTAACTTAAAGTTATCTACAAATTGTCAATGTCATAGATTAATGCCTAATTCAAAAAAGTTCATTGAAAAAAAGAAATAGAGGCAAAAGAATTAAGAACATATAGAAAAATATATTTATAAATATGATAAATCTATATATAACCGGAAAAGAAAAACACATTAGAATCTCACTTCAACATCGGATAAAATCACGACTCAAAGTTTTGCAATTGTAGAGTATAAATATATACAACAAAAAACATATATCAAAATCTCTATGTATTATTTGAAAAAAAATCATTACTTCAACTTATACAACATAAACCTAAAGATGACAAAATCAAAGACCATTAATGAGAATTGTGAAATATACTTTACTTCGATCTTCACCTCATTATTTGACACTTCCTCTTAAACATTCTTCTTAAGATTCACACATGTATGGAATATCTTCGTGCATTTATCTTAAACAAAAAACAAAGAATAGAAATTATACCATATCTTAGTATAATTTTTTTTCCCACTACAACCTTTGACATATAGATAGCTCAAATCATTATAAGCAGAATATAAAGTTAGTATCAGTCATATTTGTTTAAAACATAGAAGTCCTTATATAGGTACATATGGAGGAACATATAATAAATAGTCATAAATTTACACATTAAATATTTAGAGGTTACGAATATGAAAGGCATGAGAGTTATTGAGATTATTAAAAATATAAGTTATGAAGATAAAGAGTGTGAGTTATGAAGATAGAATTTTNTATATATATATATAGTAAGTTTAGTTAACTAGCGATCTAAAAGATATTTACTCAATCACTTAAAATGCCATGGCAAGTAACTCTTTAATAGTATTGACTAATAATCTTTTATCAATGGTACGTAACATGCTATAACTAAATTACACCTGTAAAACTTATTTATTGTCAATGCATATAACTTAAATTTATTATAAAATAAATAACGATATCAATTGGCAGTATGAAACCTAGTTTTTCTCTTAATAATTGACCTATTTGGTATAGAATTCTATGCTCCTAAAGTACTATGCTACTAAGTAGAAATTTCCTGCTTGACTTCATCCTCTGTTTCCCATTAAATTCTGTTATAGGACTTCTTAACTAATGAGCCTTTTCAACTTCCTGAAATTCAAGTAACTCGTCAGTTCCAAACTTGCATGTAATTACTCTTTTGTATGATTTAGGAATAAAAGAATTGCTCTATAGTAATCTCTTCTTTATTTACAGGGTACAAACGAAAAGACATCCACAAAACCATGCCGATGATTCCTGAATTTTATTCAACAACATTGAAGAGGAAAAGAGTGATTGAGGAACAAGAATATGAGTATTTTCTGAATATTTCAGTGCATCATGCTGAAGACATTGATTCTGTCACAAGACATCCCGATGGCGCGAAACGGATATATAGAGTCATCGGATGGGTGAATCCAGGAGATGAATTCATAACTCCTGCAGCAGAAGGATTGCCAAATCCAGAGTGGAATATAAAATACCAAGTTCCATTAGGGATGTATGATCCCTACAAGTACTTGAACTTGGAAGTAGTTCGAGTTTGGTCAAAATCAGATCCTGGTACATCAAGTGGTTGTATATTGGTCGGAAGGGCTCAGATTCCTTTGCCAAAACTTAACCAGAAGAAAGGCGAGCAGCAAGGGGGGAGCCACAGCAGGCGGCATGGCCTGGTAGCACCACCAGCGGCAGGGTCTGGCGTCGTGGCGGATGGGCACATCATAGTTGCCATGGAAGTCAAGAGGCGACCAGCCTACTTTTATGGTAGGTAGTTGATGTTTTTCTATTAAACGATTGAAAAGGAGAAAGATGTTGAAATAGCCAATTATTTCTCTCCTTTGTTTTTTTTTTAAGTAGAAGGTGGTAGTATTTTCCTTACTGAATGTGATTGTCCAAAAGACATGGAAGTGTTTCATCACTTTCTACAGCTACAACATTTGACATGAAGTCTAGCACATGTTTTAGTTACAATTTTAACATCCCACAGTACCATCATATCCTTGCTAAGCACTTGATTACATGTTTTACGCAAAGCTATCTTCATTGCTTTTCTAATATTCATGACTTCAGCGATTAAATTGAGAATAATTATCATAGAGCATCGAATAAGAGGTATCTATATGCTTTTTTTACAAGTAAATAAGATGTTATCTATATGTCTTTAAAATTCTAAAAAATAAAATCATATCTTTGTCCTGTTGGCCAGTATTTAAACATAGTGCAGAAAGTATAATAAGCATCAAGTTAGACAATCATATGAGACTTGTTTTCCATGCCAAGATTGATTTGAGAAATGAAACAACATATTTTCTAAGGGACATCCTTTTTTAACCACCTAGCCAGAAGTTTCTAGGTGGATTCAAAAGTTGAAATGCGCTGCCCTGCTTTTTGCTAGCTTAGAGCAAACATACTTCTCCTTATCACACAGGTGCAATAGTAGCAATATAGAGGTACACACGGGTTGCAGTAGCAGCAATATAAAGATATAAGACTACTAAACTACAAACAAATAAGTTGCAAGAATGCAGGACATTGAAATAGGTAGTCTGTAACTCAGTATTGGTATCAGATCTAAGCAATTCTGTACTTCTCTCGTCCCATGACAGGTTGCAAATTATTAACATATAAGTAGCAGCAGACAGCTAGGAGGACTCTGGAATTTCGATACAAGGAATGGAGATGTTATCAACTCTAATTAGAGTTGTTAAAAGAAAGATATTGCATCTTTACATACAGTTTCACCGAGCTATCAGCAAGTTGGTTCAGTGTTGAATGCATATATTAAGCTTCTCGACTAGATTAAACACAACTTGCACCATCCCGTAATCCGTGGGATCTTCCAAACTTTGCAAAATATTTACTTGAAAAGCAGTGATCTACTTTTGGCATAATCCATATGATATAAACGAAACGAGTAACCACACAACTTTCATAAATGGCTATATTCATAGAAGTACTAGAAGTGCCTATGTTCTTGATTCCCCATGTGTTATATTATTATATTATCTGTTCATAGGTCTTAGAAAAATACGTAAGCTGATAAAGTTATTTCGTGATATTACCCGAAGTCATATTGATCGTCTGACATCCCGAGAGATCTTATTGACTTACTTCATTATGCATTGCATTCATTTATACATGTACATTGACTCATGACCAGATGGCATTATATACGTGAATATTATATGTATATGGGATAGGGGAAAATGTTATGGCATTATATACACACCACTACCTGATCAGTTGGTATACATTGATGATTTCACCCACAGAGGCCGAGATGATTTGATGGGATGCCCTCAGAGGCTTGATGATGTTATGTACTCATATACCTATGCATGGTATGATATTTACATATATATGCATGACATTATAAATGTTTCATGATTCACATAGATATTCAGACTTACATGTTGAGTTCTTGACACATTGTTTCTTTTATGCCTTACATACTCGGTATTTTATTTGTACTGACATCCCTTTTTAACTGGGGACACTGCGTTTCATGCCCGTAGGTCCCGATAGACAGGTTGATAGTCCTCCTAGTAGGCTATCCGCTCAGCGGAAGGTGTTGGTGCACTCCATTTATTCCGGAGCTGCCTATTTAGTCAGTATGATTTGAACATGTATTGATTGGTATGACGGGGCCTTGTCCCAACCTTTATGACGTTTATGTACTCTTAGAGGCTTGTAGATAGATGTCATGCATATGGATACTTGTATGGCTTTATCGGCCTATGTTTTGAGTGTACAAATGATTATGTCAACCTTATAAGCCCGTATGTCACATGTATAAGTTTCTATATCATGTTGGGTCGTCCTATGTCTAGTATTCCCTTATTTTTTATTCTAGTTATCTCATGATGACCCTTCTGGACCATTTACCTATGATGGTGTGATAAGAAAGATATGTTACGTTGGTACTCGGTTGAGTAAGGCACCAGGTTGCCCGTCGCGGCCCTCCGATTTGGGTTGTGACAATTTGTCTCATTGATTCTTGTTGTATGTTCACTGTGTCTACTTTATGCACTTTCATTATTATTATTGACTTCTAGTAAGTCTCAAGTCGACCCATCGTCACTAATTCTTCGAGGTTAGACTAGATACTTACTGGGTACGCATTGTTCTTCGTACTCACGCTACACTTTTGCACTGATGTGTAGGTACTTAGACAGGTTCAATCATCTACGGAGACTTAGGGGTGAGCTGCTTTCCTTGCCATGATCCACAGCACCGGAGTCTCCTTCCATCTTATTTAATATTCCTGTGTAATACTTTTGGACAGTAGTTTTAGTAGTTTTGTATATTCCCTAGATTGCTTATGTACTTGTGATGCCGGGTTTTGGGGATTTGTATCATTTATCTACTGTTGTACTTGTCATTTCTATCATCGCAGATCATGTACTTATGATGTTAATATTTTGTTTAAAAAGACTTATCACAGTTGCATGAAATTTAGTGTAATTACAAATATGCGGAAAAGGGATAAATAAATAGTAGTTTCGCTTGTGGGCTTGCCTAACGGCGGCGTTAGGTGCAGTCTCTGCCTAGTACGGAATTGGGTCATGACAAGTATAAATATCTTAACTTTATCTATTGTAATTAATTTTCCTAGCATTGTTTGATAATATTGAGTCTATTTTGGTGAGATTCGATTGGTTTGGAGGCGAATTTTAGAGGAAAAGCCCCGGTTGAGTTTTGATTTGATTGCGGAGCGAGGTAAGTGTTGGGTCTAACCTTGATTTGAGGGAATTAGGAACCCTTGAACTATATGTTATGTGAATTACGTGTGTAACGCCGTATATGCGAGGTGAAAAGTGTATATACGCTGTCAAAATGATTGTTCCATGTCTATCTCGTATTTCATCAATTATCTCATTCCATGCCTTAACTGTTTCATGTTTTAATTACTTTCTATGTCGTAATTTGTTACTTGTCATCAATTATTCTTGTATTGAATTGTTCTTTCCTTCCATGACTCCCTGATGAATTGTTATTTCCCTTAATGGTCTTACTTACACACCTTAATTGTCACGTACTTGACTTGTTTTGTTGCTTTTGTATTATTTGTAGCATTCTTTTGATTAGTACGTGGTTCCTTTATTTCTTTGCTTTCATATACCTTAATTGTAGAGATTCTTGTAAATTAAACTATTCAATTGGTTACACTTATTGAGAATGTTTATGGATCGGGTTGCACGCCGCAATAGTTGTGATATAGTGGAATAAGGGAGGATTTTGATATTGATTATAATGATATACAAGCCCCAAGTCGATGTCGAACAATCCGAAACTAGTCAAATATTATATAATTTAATCAATGTATACTTAAAATGTCTTAATTTAGCTATTAGAGTAATTATCCAACCAAAATTGGAAGATTCTTAAAATTCACTGGTCTTCTTTCGCACCTGCGACCCTAGCCTAGCTGGCCTTTCTTCGCATCTGTGGCCCATTCATCGCAGAATCAAGTCTGCTTCTGCGGAACTTCTTTGCTTCTGCGGACCACTGGCCACCCACTCCCAGGACTATTCTACGATCTCGCACCTGCGGCCAAATCCACGCCGGTGTAAACGCACCAGATCTGAAGCACCAACAGTTTTCCCCCACGTCCAATTTCGAGTCTGATTCCAATCCGTCTTGCATGCGGCTCCCCCGGGACCCCGTCCAATTACACTTACACATCCAACAACATAATACGGACCTACTCGCACAATTGAAACACCAAAATAACATCTAAAATAACGAATCAGACGCCAAAACGCATGAATCAAATCATGAAACTCAAAAACTTCTAAAAACACTTCCATACGTTTGATTCCTATCAAATAAACTCGGAATGACGCCAAATTTTTATGTGCAAGTCTTAAATCACCATATAGAACTATTCCCAGGCTCTGAATCCCAAATAGACCTCGATAACACCAAAGTCTACTCCAAACCAAACTTAAAGAACTTGGAAAACCTTAAATGTGCCAACTTTCAATATTAAGTGCTGAAACACTCTCGGGTCATCCGAAACCCGATACGAACACATGCCCAAGTCCAAAATCATCATATGAACCTATTAAGACCATCAAATCCCTGTTCCAAGATTGTTTACTCAAAACGTTGACTCAAGTCAAACTTTAACCATTATAGGCTACAGTTAAGGAACTATAACTAGAACTAACCAATAAACCTTAGGATCAACTTTCCTTCTTCCCAAACCTCATGATCCCTTTATCGGCGAAACATTCAAGAGAACCTTCTCGCCCACCATAAATGATAGATCACGCGCCTTCTGATCCGCGTAACTCTTATGTCTGGACAGTGTTGTGTGAAGTCGCTCCTGAATCAACTTTACCTTTTCCAAGGCATCCCTCACTAAATCAGTACCATATAACTTAGCCTCGGCAGGCTCAAACCATCTGATGGGCGACCGACATAGTCAATCATATAAAGCCTCAAATGGAGCCATCTCGATTCTGGACTGATAACTGTTGTTGTAAGGAAACTCGACCAAGGGAAAGAATCTATCCCACTAACCTCCGAAGTCAATGACACATGCTCTGAGCATATCCTCCAGAATATGAATTGTCCGCTCCGACTGCCCAACGATCTGCGGATGGAAAGCTATACTGAGCTCTATCCGGGTACCCAACTCACTCTGTACTGCTCTCCAGAAGTGCGAAGTGGACTGAGGGCCTTTATTTTAAATGATGGAAACAGGCACACCATGCAACCAAGCAATCTCCTAAATGTAAATCTGGGACAATATCTCTAAATAATATGTAGTCACAACCTAAATAAAGTGTGCCGACTTATTTAACCTGTCGACAATGACCCAAACTGCATCAAACTTCCTCAAAGTCCGCGGCAATCCAACTACGAAGTCTATAGTAATGCGCTCCCATTTCCACTTAGGTATAACCATCTGTTGAAGTAGGCCACTTGGCCTC